ATTATTATTATTATTATTATTATTATAACAATATACAAATAAACCCCCTTTTTCGCACTCGCTCACATTTTAAGAAGCATGGTATAATCCCGCTTGGGCAAGGATCAGCCTATGCCGCTCGAGAGGCGCCGTAGGCGGGGTCAGTTTTGCCCGTATTGGTCGCTTCGGTCGCAGGGAAGGGAGGCTGGACGAGACCGAGAGGGCGGTGCGGCTCCGAAGGTTCATACATGTGGGTAGCTCGCATATGGAAGACTGGCATGCGGCTTTGTACGTGAGAAAGAATCAGGGGTCGAGGAGGAGGTCGATCCATTTTCTCCTAGGTAAAGTCGGGCAGAAGACCTGAAAATGAGAGCCGACGTGCACGGTAATTTCTTCCGTTTCTTTTATACGATTGAGGCCTCCTTTGTTTTTCCTTATTCATGCCGTTTCCGTTTTACATCCGTGCAAACGGTTACTTTCTCTTGTTTGGTTAGGATTTCTCTGTATTAATGCCGATCTCAAAAGTAAAATAATGCTGCTTACCCTGCACTTCCCCACGTCGCCCTCACGTCCCTCTTCAGCGACTTTTTCTTCCTCCTCGTTTCTTCCTTCGCTATTTTGCAGTGCCCTACCCCATTTCTGCTCTAATACGGACCGAACAGGTTTGTCGACCTAGCTTCCACCTTCAACCCTTCTCCATTGAATCATTTCTGGCCTTCTACAGCTTCGATTCTAGGCAGCAAACAGGTATGTCGACCTACCTTCGATCATCTCTTCTATTCTTTCATCTGTAAATTAAACCTTAAATTAAGAGCTGTTATCAGTTTAATTTTGATGCCAAAATCTGAATTACTTTTCTCAAAAAATCATAGTCTACGTAATACTAGTTTGCTAAGCTTTTAATTATGTAATTAAAAACATTTCACATATAGCCTTTACAACCATAAAATCTCTACCTTCTTAAATACTGTGCAAAAAAAAATTCGTGGACCTTCTCACTACATTCATAGCAACAGATTCCTTTAGTGTTCTCCGGTAATCTTCCAAATACTATGTCAACAGTACACCTTTGTAATCAAATATTTTTTTAATTATTTAATACCTGAGTTATCAGTTTAATTTAATACCAAATTACCATGTCAACACTACATTTATTACCTGAGTTATCAGTTTAATTTTGATGTCAAAACTAAAAATTTATAATTATCTTTCGCAACTACAAAACAGAACTTCCTTCGTTTTAAATATTTAAAAATATTTGGAAATTTTTATAATTTTTATTATATATTTATTATGTATTTTTAATCTCTAAGATGTTGGAATCTGTAGATGGGGAAACAAAGAGAATGTGGTCCACTTGCGACATGAGATATCAATAGCACATTACTCTATTATGACTTATGCATAGAAGAAATTGAATTGGGTAATAGACCTTCCACCCATTTCAGTAAGAAAGGTTGGACAAATCTTATGACAAAATTTAGTTCTCGGACTGGAAGATCGTATGATCGTACACACCTAAAGAATAAGTGGGATCAATTGAAGAAGGATTGGAAGTTGTGGAAAGAGCTGTTGTGTGGGGAGACTGGATTAGGGTGGAATCCAATAAAACGGACTATAGATGCTTCTAATGAATGATGGAATGATAAAATACAGATATTACTAAGTAAAATTTTTAAAATACATTCATATCACAGTATAATATATGTAGGCTTGATAGATAAATGTTTTCACTTATGTAGGTCATACCTGCAACAAGAAAGTTTAGGTTCAACGGAATACCACCAGAACTCGAACAAAAACTTAAAATTATGTTTAGTCGCATTGTCGCAACTGGCAATAAGTATGGATTCCAAACTCTGGTATTTTACCCTCCGAAGTAACTAATGACCATCACAATTCATCTGAGGAAAATGACCTCCAAGATGATGACCCACATACAGAAATAGGTCACAAAGAAGATGCTATATTTCCAATAGCTTCCCAAAGATCTCAAAGTTCAACCACATTCCTAAAAAGGAAGAGAGTTAAATCAGTTAGGTTAGCAGGGAAGCAACTATTTCTAAATCATATTGAAAGTTTAGTTAATGTTGTGCAATCAGTAAGCTCTACTATAGCAACCTCAACGTCGCAACGTAGAACAGTTACAATACTTGATGCAGTCGTAGAGATATCAGCCATACCTGAAATATATGATGATTTGGAATTCTATGCTTTTGCAATTAAGTTCTTAAAAGATAGAAATAGTATAGAGAGTTTTATGGGAATCCCAAGTGAGCGAAAAACTTGGTGGCTTCGACGATGCTTCAACAAAAGTTCAAATTAGACTTCAATAGAAATATCTTTTATTTGGTTATGTATTACCTTTTGTTCTTCTGTTCCGAATCATGTTTTTTTTTTTTTTTTGATGTTGTTGAACTTGTCAAAAACCTACAACATCTATGCAGTGTTGGGAAATTTTATGCATTACTCTTATAGGCATACATAAATTCTGTAACTTAACATGATTTCCTCTGTTTTTTTCATATGAATCTAAGTTCATTAAAAAAAAAATTTCAGACTATACCATGAACAGTATTCAGGCAAAGTAGAATAGCTACTGAAAATATAATCCCAGTGTCTTCGCGGATAATATATAAATATTCTCTTCTCATACATAACTGCCTAAGAGGAAATGTTGGAAACTAAGCTCCGTTCATTTCCTGATGAGATTGGGTACATTTGAAAACTGCAACAGATTTTTCAAATGTAGACCTCACATGCTGGCATAATAAAATCAGATCTTGGAAATATTCTTTCAGCACATCCTTTGCTGAATCACCTGTTTTCAAATTAAATTACAAGAAGAAAATTTTTTATATCAGTTTCATTCATATTAACAATTTTAGCTAAAATAAATGTTAATAAACCAGATTACCTTTTAGTACATCTGTGGTAAAAAATACAAGCAAAATGGTCATTGAATAGATATATATTTTTTATGAAAAACCTCCTAATATTTTCTTTTCAAGGCACCCAAATCTTTTCAAGGAGAACCTCCTCAAAGCATACGGGAAGTTGAAGATTATTTCTGAGTATTTATTGATGTTCCCATGTGGCCATTTCTACTTTATGTTACAACTAAAAGTTAAATAAGAAAGAGGAGTTTTGCAGTTATTATTGCTGAAAAAATCCATTTGGATCAGTTTGATAGTAATTCAACATTGCCTGTATATTTTTCGTGCCATGTTGGGTACATATTCAGTTTAGTCGAGTCGGGTTCATGTTGAAATCTTCCACCTATTTCATAAATATGGGTACATATTCAGTTTAGTCGAGTCGGGTTCACAGATTCATGTTGAAATCTTCCACCTATTTCATAAATATGTAAGTAATAAATCAAAGCTATTGAAAAAAACCATGTACCCAGTGCACTGCAATAGTTGAGAAGCAATCAGCCTTCATTAGATGGATCCTTTTCACTCAGAAGGTAAAATCTTTGATTCCCATTGGAAGTTATCAATGCCATCCAACAAACTGTAGCTAGATTTGAGTGCATTTTAAGTAGAATGGCTACTTAAAATATGATTCCTATAAGAATACGAATTGTTTTCTGATCTCTTCATTGCCAATTTACATTTAATTTACTGCTGCAATTAGTTTCAATCCAGCTCATGAATTCTCATTCAGTTGTATGTGATTCAATGTTTTTGCAGATAACCAGGACTCTATTTGGCGCATAGCAGTACATTTTTTTTGGTCCATCCACTGGTAAGAAAGTTTGTTTGTGATTGTTGCTGAATCAATTTTTTTCTCTACCAGTGGGTCGTTCTGACTTTATTTCTTAACATGACTTTATTGCTGTAATTAGTTTCCAAATTATCTTTAGCTTAGAATTCCTGACTTTAATACAAACTGCAATCATCAGATATCAACTTGGTTTTTTCTCAAATTACAAACAATATAACTATTTACTCAACGTTTTTATTAGTTTTTCCCATAAAGATTGAATCATTGAATTGTTTGTAAATTTTGTTTTTTTGTTTTTAATGTAAACAAAAAATCAATGTCTTTCGAGAATGGAAACTGTTCAAATGATGAGCTAGAAGAAGAAGTTTGGTCAGATCATGAGAACAAGACAATTTTTCAATTTAATAATATCATACTAGGTTCAAACTTTCTAATGTACGATTACTACTCACTGTACTTAAATAAAAAATCATGCATGACGTCTAACCAAACTGGAGGCAAATGGATAAGTGAGTTAATGTTCGGGCATTCAGTTAGATTTTATAATATTTTTAGAATGTTCCAGATCATTTTCAACGACTTGGTATGTTTGCTTGAAGAAAAACACGGCATATATGGATCTCGTAGGACAAACATTAGAGAAGTTCTTGCAATAACTTTATTCATTTTAGGGCAAAATGAATCCATTCAATCAACCTCTTAAAAATTCCAACATTCTACATAAACAATAAGTAGATACTTTTGTGTTGGACTTGAAGCATTATCACGACTGTCATTGGAAATTATTTCACCTAAAAATAAGAAATTTCATAATATTCCAGTGCAGATCCGTAGGGATATAAGATATATGCCATATTTCAGATATTGTATTGGAGCAATTGATGGAACTCATGTTGATGCAAGAATTCCTGTGAAAGATCAAATTCCTTTCATAGGACGGCATCATAAAATTACTCAAAATCTAATTGCTACTTGTGATTTCGACATGTGTTTTACATTTGTTTCAGCAGGATGGAAAGGTTCTGCACATTATGCTCGCATTTTTAAACATGATGTGACAAATCCTAAATTTAATTTTCCAAAACCACCAACAGGTAAGTTTTATGCATTTATAAATAATGTAAGTTTTTTTTTAATGTATAATATTGTATGGATTAACTTATTGTAAATTCATGTATAGGTAAATATTACTTAATTGATGCAGCTTTTCCTCTGAAAAAAGGATATCTGAAGCCTTACCAAGATACACGATATCATTTAGCAGATTTTGTTCGAGAAAGTTAACCAATAAGGGGTTACAGGGAAGTATTCAATAAGAGACATTCCTCATTACGAAGTATCATTGAGCGTGCATTTTGTGTGTGGAAAAAAAAATGGAGAATTCTACATGATATGTCAAATAACGCATTCAAGAAACAATGTCAAATAATTATAGGTACAATGACATTGCATAATTTTATGCGAAGACATAACTCACGGGTCGATCCTGATTTTGATGAGTATGAGAAGGATGAAAACTTTGGTTTTTCTGACTGTAGTCTAGACAGAGTTCCAGAACCAGATGAAGAAAATGTTTGTGTTGACGAACAGGCTGATGGTGAAGGTGTAACTGAGATGAAAGAAGTTAGAGATAATATCACAAAACAATTGTACAACTTTAGTATGTAGTATAGTTATCTTAATAATGATTTTCAAAATTTAATATTATAGAAAAATTGTGTTGTGTTTTCTTTTGTTATTAATGATGAAGTATGTAAGGACTAATATATATATATATATATATATATATATATATTTTCAAGGTGTGTATATGAGATCTATGATGAAAATGTAGAAGTTGAAGGTGATTACCTTGACAAACCTTACGAAGATTTAAGTTGTTTGTTAAATTTGTTAGAATTTGTATTTGTGTGATTGAGAAAAAATTGAGTTTTAAAAAAGTTATGTTTATTAAATGAATTAGTAGATGATGTGTGGTTATATTAAAAAGTTGATTCTTATTTACTCAAACTAGATAGTTTAATGGTATTCGTAATATTATCATATTTATAATAAGTATAATATAAATTATAAATAGTGTATTTAAAGAAAAAAAAATTATTTTAAAATGTTTTGTTAAACACATCCTAAGTAGAGAAATAAAGTAAACATATATATTATAGATGTTTGTGATACAGGAAGTTAAGTAATTACAATTTCCTCCACTGTTGATACTGTTTTCGTAACTAAACGTCTGAAGAAGAAGATGAATCATACCACATTGGAAGAATCATTCGTGTAGTTTCGAAGTGAAATATCGACCTGGAGCCGAAAATTTTCTGTTGGACAGAATTTCAGCAGGTTGAGATCCGGATGTAATTAATTGAAATAAGAGGGTAATTTTGTCTTTTATCATTAGTAGAGACTATAGAGTAGAGCGAAGAATTGCGATTTAGTGAATCAACCAAACAACTTCCCGTTGTTTTAAACTCGGTTTTTTCAATAGCTGCTTTTTACCAACTTAAAGAAAGGCGGGTGGCAAACGAGGCCCTATGTTGTCCATAGCTTTACTAATTTCTGAGAAAGATGGAACATGAAAAATGTATATATTTGATCATGTTATAGATAAAATCACTATCAAATATAAATTTCGTATTCATCATTTGGACGATATGCTAAATTTGAGCTCAGAGAAATTTTTTTTCTTCCAAAATTGATCTAAAAAATGGTTATCACCAAATTAGAATTTGATGAGATGAATGAAAAATTGTCTTTAAAACTTTTCACGAGCTGTATGAATGGTTAGTAATTCTCTTTGGACTCTCAAATGCCCCTAGCACATTCATGAGGTTAATGAATACTGTTCTTAAGCCCTTTATTGATAAATTTTTATTTTATTTTTTGATGATATCTTTCTTAATTTTTAGCCTAAGAAAAAAAAAAAAGAACCAACATCTTCCGTAAGTTTTTGAGATTACTAGGAAAAAAAAAAGTTATGCATCAATTTGAAGATTTTTTTTTTTTTGAGGTTTTTACTTACATAATATCTAAAACTATTATAATTATATATCTAACACCTAAAATATACTATTTATTTTTCTACCACCTAAATAACATTCCACTCATCTAAAATGTAACTCTGTTAACTCCCCTTAAATAATATTTTTACAATAGTTAGCAAGTTCTCCAAGATGGCCCACATCCTAATGTGATATGAAACTTATGATACTTCTTATATTGCTAGACTATTCTTCAAGGAAAGTAAGCCTCTATATAACCTTCTTTCAATTATGATCTATGGTCATAATATTAGGTTTATTTCATACTTCTTGAAAGCATTATAAAAAAAAAATTATTTAGCACAAAATTAAACTTATCATCTACTTTTCATCCTAAAACTGATAATAAACTGAAGCTATAAATCAAATATAAAAAAACTTATTAAGATGACTTGTAAAAAAAACCTAAAAAATTAGGACTTATATTTATATAGATTTTAATTTGCATATAATAATATTATTTCTATAACAACCAAAGTTTCACTATATAAAATAATGTATGCTGAAAACCTTAGAGCTGAACTTAGATAAAGATTAGAGAGAGTCATCTTTGATGGTTTGATCACATAAAATGTTGGTCTTTTGATGAACAAGTTAGGAGAGTAGATATATTTTAGCCTACATTAAAAGATGTAGAGATAGAACTAAAAAAATAAAGATTCATGTAGCCGACCCCACATAATGAGGCAAAGGCTTGATGTTGTTAACAAAATAAAACAAAAGATACAAATGCAATTTTACTTGGACAAAAAAACAAGGCCTTGTAAAAAAACAGACCATCTAAGAGTTATTAAACTATAAGACCATTGAAAAGAGAAAATTGGAGAAAGGAGTTGCACTAATTCTTTCAACCAACAACTACCATGCTTCCAGCTGAAATAGAACTAGGATCATAAAAACAATAACACCAAAATTTATGAGGGAAACCGCAAACTTCTTAACTGCAATGACAAGCAGGCTGGGACATAATAGATGTTGAGCTCTCATAATGGAAAGTAAAAGTCTAACAGTCCAATAATATAAATATCTAGGAGTCCAAATGATTTCTCCAAATTTGTCACACAAAAAAATTCCTTTAGAATAACCCTGTTGATCTTATGAGTAGGGATGACGAAATAATTAAAGAAAAATTGTTCACCAAATGAGAACTGCAGCATATGCTAGCTCAAACAGAAGAATAATACATGAAAAGAAAGCCTAAATGGACGATCTCATGATGTATTTTGAATGGCAAAATAAACTAATCCATGTAATAAACATGATCTCTGTCTGGATTAAGATTCATTGTGCTGGTACTTGAGAGTTATAATTTAAAAAATATCTCCTGAATAATTGTTCTGTGTTTGTACTTCAAAACTTCATAGTAAAATATAGATTAGTCTACTAAGGTCCCATTTGGTTGGTTGAAAATGGAAAAAATATTTCTAAAAAAGGGTAAAATATGCAAATTCATTATTTTATAGAGTATAACTAATGAGTTCAACACTAAACAAACTCCTCAAATGTAATAATTTTGTTTGCACAAATAAAGTGGAAATGAAATCAAAATGTTCTAAATCAACAAAACAATATGAACACTAAGATATAACATGGCTCATTTAA